GAGCCTGCCCAAGACACTAGCCTAGACGCCGGCAGGGACTCTGACGAGGACGCGATCGGCTCAGAGCATCCCAGGTCTCCCAGCTTTGGCCCTTCAGCCAGCCCCGTTGCCGCCCAGCGTCAACTCGAACCTCGCCTCCCAACTCCCACCCCATCCTCGCCCCGTCCCACCTCCGGCACCGCAGGAAACACCACTGGTGAGCTCCTCGCGCTTCAACCCTACCAATTGCGCACCCGCCTCAACACTTCCACATCCAAAGCCATGTCAAGCCCCGAGCCCCGCAGCACCATCAGCGCGCCCCCTCGCACCCAACAGGCCGCGGACCAGAAGAAACCCGCCGCGCCTCCGGACTCAGTGGTGAGCCCTCTCTTCCGTTCTTCACCATCGTCAAAAGTTCTAACGGCAACCCAAGAACCACACATTCACCGGCGACGAACGCTGCACCAACTGTATCATGCGCAACAACCCTACTTGCGTCGTCAACAGTAGCCGCCAGCGCTGCGACTCTTGTTTCCTCAAGCGCCACCGCTGCTCGAAAGTTCTCACGCCTCCCTCCCGGCCCTCCAGAGAGACCAACAACACTAAGAGCGCGTCGACCTCCAAGGGCAAGGCTGCCGGAGGTGAGCACCTAGGCCGCACGGCGAGCACGCGCTCACTCCGTGGGCTCCCTTCGCCTTCCTCCTCTACAGATGCCCCAGCCACCAACGGAGAGAGCGCGAGCGCACGGGTCCAGAAGCGCAAGCGCGCCGCTGAGGTCGAGGACACCAAACGTCCCGAGCCCGCCAAGCGTCCCACTCGGCCTACGCGCCCCACCACGACTGCCCCCGCCGCGAGCACCTCCGCCGCTTCTGCCTCTGCTCCCGTCACGCGGCCGGCCGCACCGAAACGCGAGAAAGCGCCGATGCAGAACGGCGTCGCCGCTGCTGGCGGGAGTGCCTCCGTTGGCCCCAACGCACTTGCTGCGCTCGCCGCATCCGCATCACGCGCCCCACGTGCACCCGCACCCCCTGTGAACCCGCAGACGCAGCACCCGAACCCGCGGATGCAGCAGTACCAGGACAAGCTGCAGGTCGTCGCGGGCATCCTCGAAATGGTCCAGACGTCCGTCAAGGAGCTGCAGGACCAGATGGCGGCGGACTTGAGGGCGGCTCGCTGAAGCGCGTGCCCGCCGTCGGACATCCTCGGTCTTCGGTCGCCGCGCTGCAGCGTCGGGCGGGCGGGCAGTAGCAGCAGCAGCCATCCGTCCAGTCGACTGGGCTGGCTGGACTGGCGTGCCTCCCTCGTGGCCTGTTGGGCGTGCTCGCGTGTGCCTCCCGCGGACGGACAAAACCGCGCGCGGACATGCGCTGGAATGCTGCTGATGATTCAGATGATTGTCGTTGTTTTCGTTGCTTTCGCGACTCCGATCTCTGGTGTATAGTGTATTGTACTACTTCACTCTCTCGTATCCCTCTCTTCCTCTCTCCATCTCTCACCTTCACCCCTCACCCCCACATCCCCCGTTCGCCTTATCATGTTCTCTCACTATCTCTCTGTGTTCTCCCGCCTTTACCCGGACCCCGTACGAGTCTCGATAAGTATAAAGTAGGCACGCGTGTGTGCTGCTCGCTCTCCGTCTCTCCCTCTGTGTGTGTGCTGTTGCTGTGGCCGTGGCCGTGCGCGTGTACGTCGACGTGCGTGCGGCAGCGGGGCGGCGTGGTGGTGGTGGTGGTGGCGGGTGGTGATTAGCGACTGTCGCTGCTGCCATGCTGGCCTCTGGAAGTGGACGCACCGTCGCTCGCTCGTGGAATCCCCCCCAGCCGTGCCGCGTCGTGTGCGCGAACGTACGTACGTACATACATACATACGTACGAAACCGTATCGTATAGCTTGAATTATTGCTCATAAGTCTGTCTGCTCGTCTGTTGGGATGCGGCTCCTCCAATGAAAACTGTGATGTCCGCGTACTGCTCACTGAGAGTGTATTGGTATTGGGTACATATTGAACCGGTATACGTACCGTCGCTTTCGAGTGTGGCGCAGCTACCGTAGTACATGACATGTAACAATGCATGCCCTCGGGAGGATTGGCATTCCGGATCCAAGCTACATGGGTCTCTGAGATATAATACAACATTGAGATACTTCACTACTATGAGTAGATACAACGCGGAGGAAAAAGGAGGGGCGTCGCGCTGGGGTCACCAGGAACACCGCGCGTAGAGGTGCTCGTCAAAACTCGCTTCGGCCGAGCGGGGTCGACACGACCTTCTCAAAGACGACGTTGCCGAAGCTGATCTCGGAGTCGGTCTCGTACTGTACAGGCAGAGGCGCGCGAACGGGGCGAAGGCGGTCAGCACTGGGCAGCTTAGCATGGCGGGGTCATGATCACTCACCATGTCGCTCTCGCGTCCGAAGCGGATGGTCGTCGCCGGCCCCGAGCTTTGGCTCGGGAGCGAGGACGCTTCTTCCTCGCGCCTGAACTTGGCGAGACCGAAGTAGAAGCGAGAGATGAGGATCGACGTGAGGCTGTCGTGATGCGAGTCGGAGTGGCGAGTCGGAGTGGCGAGTCAGCTTGCGAGTAATACATACGACGTGCGTGGGCTAGGAGATGGGCGGCGGTATCTACTCACGGGTTGAGGAATTGCAGAGTTAATGAGAGTGTGTCGGCTTCCACCCAGATGAAGGCGAGCTGGATTGCGTTGAGAACCATTATGACACTACGAGTCGGCCCGTCGGTCAGTGGGCCAGGTTGAGTAGGCGAATTGGAGGGGTTGAGTTGGCGGGGTACACATTGGCACAAGAAGACGCGATGACTCACGCGAAGTATAGTATGCCTTCATGGAGCACGAATGCCGTGACGGACTTCGGGATGCCTGGTATGGGGTCCGCGCGCACGGCTTTCCAGGTTTTGATCCACGTCACGGCGACGATGATGCCCTCGTATGCGACGGAACACACCCTTGTCAATATCGTCACTTGGCAGCCGCAGGGTCAAACTCTTGATAAACAGGGCCCATTGAGACATGCATGCGACTTACAACTGAGGATCATCAGCAAGTGAGTACCCACGAACAGCTCTAGGCGAAAAACGCGCACTTACCTACGCCAGACTGTTTGTGAGAAGTTTGATGAAACCACGCAGCCAGTGCCCTCTGTATACGAGTCGACCATTAGAACCTCAAGATACTATCCGTCAGGATGTCATTAGCCTAACCGATACAGGTAGAGGAGGGATCGCAACAGCAGGACATACTATGTTAGTCGCAACAGGGACCAGCGACAGCAGTACGACGAGCACAGTGATCGGTCGGTTGTTGTGGCTGATGGCGTATATGCGCAAGCCCGAGAATGCTGAACAAATAGGTATATTCAATGGATGTCTTTAGAAAAAGGGGTCGGCAGACACTTACCTGACCAAACACCGTATAGGATAACCGTCGCCGTTTGCATCGTGTAGTTCAGCGCCTCGCATCTATGAGGGCCATTGGTCGTACTCTAGTAACCTCGACATATGCCGGAGACACTCACCCCTAAGAAAGGAGTGTTAGTAACGCGGTGACGAGACTATCGGACAACGTACAGGTAGGTTATCGGCCGATATAAGTGGAGTGATAGATACAAAGAAGAGCACAAGAGCGATGTAGCGGTTGAGGAGTAAGATGAGCCTAGCCCATGTGAGCTTCCGACGCCAGGCGCATTCGACTTCGCTATCGAAGGTGATCAAGTATTCAAAGAGAACGAGAACTGTCATGGATCATCAGAAGGCCATGCATACACGCAGGGATATGAGACTACCAAAAGCTGCCAGATCGATAGAGTTGTAAGAGTAGCTAGAAGAAGGTAGGGCAGGCCTGAGTTAGGCTCTATCGCGAGGACACTCGAGAAACTCACTACTCGGCAGCCTCCTCAACCACTATCGCCTCCCACTGGGAGTAGTCTGTTGTCGCGTTCATGCCGCGCTGCGGGAGGGATGAGGGTGGCTCGACCGAGCGGCCATGCTCGTAGGGCTGGGCTTGGCGGGCCGCCTGCTTATATACATTCATCCGTCGGACTGCTCTGGTGTTTACCGATAGGGCGGTATGTGTTCATCTGCATCACAAGCAATGGCAGAAGCAGTGCGTTATTCTTTGACAGGAGCACTCTGCGCATGAGAATATCTGTTGCGGCTGGTGCGCAGCCCGCCAAAGGTACCTTCGACCTCGCCTCTCACTGGCTCCTGCGACCGGTGGTCAACCTAAGCCATGACCGGTCCAAGTTGGTTATGGGCGCGTCGGCCGTACTATCCTGTACACACCCTGGAACAGGACGCAGGAGGGTGCGGAGGCGAGTAGCTTGGCCCGTATCGTCTGCAGCCCCAATGCAACCTGTCATGAGAGTGTATCAGTAGATGGTCCCAGTTGCACACCAACCATCAACTCTTGATTCTGCATTCAAAGGAAGCGGTGTCGTGAGCCCTGGTTGGTTCCAAGGACTGGGGCCGTCGCCGAAGCGTCCGATACGTTGACGTTGGCGTCCAATGGGACCCATTGAAGCACCAGTGCCGCTGATCGCTGTGCATATCGACCGGGCGCATTAACAGTAGCCTGTCGTAGAGCCTGCGGCTTGTGAAGGTCGTAATCCCCAGGCTATATTAGGTTCTCGTTATGTGCACAGTCATATTACCTTCAGGAAGTTCAATCGAGAAGGGCGCGCTGTAACCTCCGCAAACCTTACAGGCACGGATTCCCACTGGAAACTGTAGGCCACACCGATGGATAGTATGAGTCACCAGTAGGGACGTGTGCGTTTGCTGTGACCTTCGTGTTGAGCGAGCACGGCAATAACGGTCAACGGTCGTTGCTATAGTACGCACCAGTAATCTGTTTGTAGGGCGTTGCTACACCATGATCATTGTATCTAGTAGTAGTGGCGGCCCTAGCGCAACCGTCAAGCCCCGCAAGCTCGCCAGTTCACCGCGGTATTACACGCTTTCTAGTGTGCATGGCACTCTGATAATAGTAAACACTGCATTCTAGTAAGACACTATGGCCGAGTGGTTAAGGCGACAGATTCGAATGACGTAGCCCTTGGGTTACGAACTTGAACATCTGTTTCGGTCTCCGAGCGCAGGTTCAAATCCTGCTGGTGTCGCTAATTTTTGCGAATCAACCACCTGGGCATTCGTGCATAAAACCAAGGTATCCAGAATTCGTGGGAGGGGAGAGAGAGGACGCTGGAGACAACATAAACGGGCTTGAGGTGGCTTTCGAATCAGGCGCAGCACTGCTCAAGAGAACCCAACATCGGAGTCCCGTCCGACCACTCGTCGGACGACTGTGACCGTTATCGCGATTCTAAACAGAGACCTCACCATGATGGTGCCATTAACGGCAAATGCGGCGCGGTTCTCTGTGCGTATATATAGGACCAGTGTCCTCAAGGTACGAGTCAAGTTTCTATCACAGCTGACTTCCGCGAGTGGCACAATTTCTCGAGGCGGAACTCTGCCTGTATTCAACCAAGTCTGTAGACGCAACATGTCGGAGAAAGTCCATGTACTCGCCAAACAGGGATTCGGGACTGGCACTAATGAGTTGTATGACCGGTGGGTACCAAATCGATAACCGCCAGGTAACTGGGGATGAAGGATATTGAGTGAGTTTGATGTACTAGGGCCCGTCCATCCTACCAAGCCAATGCTATTGCCCACATTCGTCAGTCGGTGAGGGCCTCGCCGCCGCTCAACGTCGTAGAGTGAGCATATTAACTTCACTGCATCGCATCATATCTGATACTGACAACACCGTCGACAGGATCGGTGCGGGCACGGGCATCTTCACGCGTGCCCTGCTCGCACACCCCGACTGGGCGGACTCCATCAAGGAGCTGCGCGCTGTCGAGCCGAGCGAAGGGATGCGCGACGTGTTCACGAAGACCGTGTCTGACCCGCGTGTGTCTGTGCGGGAAGGCACGTTTGACACGACCGGGATCGAAGACGGATGGGCAGACCTGGTTGTCATCGCTCAGGTATCGGAGACGCCGTCCATCATCCCAGCGCCGCTCTGCATCGTGCTCATCTCAGTTCATATCTGTCGCAGGCATTCCATTGGTGCCCGGACTACGACAAAGCGGTCTCCGAGTTCGCTCGGATCCTCAAGCCGGAGGGTATCGTAGCGTTCATCTGGAATCTCGAAGACCGGTACGCATCTTCGTGTACTTTGCCAGTCTGTTGGACGTCAAGGTGACATTTTGCCCACTAGCAACCGCGCCGCATGGGTGGCCCAACTCCGTGACCGCATCGAGCGACATGAGAGCGGTACGCCCCAGTTCCGGCTGGGGCTCTGGCGTGCTACCTTCTCTACGCCCTCTTACCTCGCGAATTTCGAGCCCCAGGAGGAGAACGTGTGGGACTACGTCCTTCACGGCACGCGCGACATCGTCGTCAACCGCGCGTGCAGCAAGAGCTACATCGCAGTCCTAGGTCCCGAAGACAAGCAGAAGGTCGTCGAGGACATCGACGCCATCCTGCAGCGCAAGGAAGGACTCGTGTGGATTGACGAGGCCCAAGGTATCTTCGAGTACCCATACCAGACTTTCCTGGTCGTGGCGAAGAAGAAGTAGACGGGAGGCTTAACAGCTACAGTGTAACACAAATAGGCGGACGGACCTGTAACAACCCTTGAGAATCACTCGCTAACTGTATGTACATCATATATCATTCGTCATGGATGGCTATAGCTTCCCAGTCCCCGACTTCAGCCACTTCAACTTCGGAGTTTTGATCACACATTGCACTCAACGAACACGCAAAATGAGAGAGATGCAAAGAATGAATTCAATGCGGTGCTACTACAGTAAGCATGAGTGTGATCGTGAGATGCAACAAGACAGCAATGCCCGACATGAACCTAATATACACATTACAAGGAAAGAAAACTGCTCAGATCTACTCTATCCCCCAGAGGTCCGCGAGCCATCTAGTCGATCTCCTCCATCGCCGAGGTCGACGCGGCCTCGGTCGATGCGGGCGCCTCGGTGCTCGTCGACGCGGCGGGCGCAGACTCCTCTTGCTCGTCGACGTCGAGGCCGAGAGCGATCATGCGGTGGATGCGCTTCGCGAACGACGTGGGGTCGTCAAGCGAGAAGCCGGAGGTGAGCAGCGCGGTCTCGAAGAGGAGGTACGTGAGGTCCCGGACGGACTTGTCCGCCTTGTCCTCCGCAACCTTGCGCTTGAGCTCCTTGATGATGGGGTTGTGGGGGTTGAGCTCGAGCGTCTTCTTCGACGCCATGTACGACGACATCGAAGAGTCGCGAAGGGCCTGCGCCTTCATGATACGCTCCTATAGACGAAGTCATCGGCGCCACGTTCAAACTGCGAGAAGGTAACCAAGACTACATACCATGTTTGACGACCAGCCGAACTGACCGGTGACGAGGACGCAAGGAGAGTCGGAGATACGGTTCGAGACGACGACCTTCTCGACCTTGTCACCGAGCGCGTCCTTGACCGCCTTGCAGAGGTCCTCGAACTGCTTGGCCTCCTCCTCACGCGCCTTCTTCTCCTCCTCGGTCTCCTCGAGCTCAAGGCCCTCCTTCGAGACGCAGACGAGCTTGTGGCCATCGAACTCCTTGAGCTGCGTGATCGCGTACTCGTCGATGGGGTCAACGAGCAGAAGAACCTCGAAGCCCTTCTTCTTCAGGACCTCAAGGAACGGTGAGTCCTTGACGGCCGAGAGCGACTCGCCGGTGAGGTAGTAGATGTTCTTCTGGACCTCGGGCATGCGAGTGATGTAGTCTGAGAGACAAGTCAGCCATTGTTCGCAATAGTGGCGGCGATGCGAACTACTCACCCTTGAGGGAAGTCATCTCCTCAGAGGACTTCGTCGAGTAGAAGCGCAAGAACTCGGCAAGCTTGCTGCGGTTCTGAGCATCCTCGTGGATACCGAGCTTGATGTTCTTGCCGAACGCCTCGTAGAACTTGTTGAAGTTGTCCTTGTCCTCCGCGATCTCGGAGAAGAGGTCAAGGCACTTCTTGACGAGGTTCTTGCGAATGACCTTGAGGATCTTGTTCTGCTGGAGGGTCTCACGCGAGATGTTGAGGGGGAGGTCCTCGGAGTCGACAATACCCTTGATGAAGTTGAGGTATTCGGGGATGAGGTCCTCGCAGTCGTCCATGATGAAGACGCGGCGAACGTAAAGCTTGATGTTGTTGCGCTTCTTCTTCGACTCGAAGAGATCGAAGGGAGCCCTGCGTACCATAGTCAAGAGGCTGTACGAGCGGGGAAATCTTTTCAATACACTTACCGCTTGGGGACGAAGAGGATGGCCTTGAACTCAAGCTGACCCTCGACGGAGAAGTGCTTGACGGCGAGGTGGTCCTCCCAGTCGTTGGTCAAGCTCTTGTAGAAGGCACCATACTCCTCCTGGGTGATCTCGCTGGGGTTGCGAGTCCAGATGGGCTTGGTCTTGTTGAGCTCCTCGTTCGTGACCTGCTTCTCCTTGATCTTCTTGGTCTTCTTCTCCTTCGCCTTGTCCTCGTCCTCGACCTCCTCGACCTTGGACTCCTCCTTGTCCTCCTTCACCTCCTCGTCGTCCTCAACCTCCTGCAGTAGGAGTCAGTACGCGATTCGTGGACGCAAAACAGAAGAAAGGACTCGCCTTCTCAACCTCCTTGGTGACGGCAAGCTGGATGGGGTAGGAGATGAACTCGGAGTGCTTCTTGACGATCTCCTTGATCCGCTTCTCCTCGAGGTACTCAAGCTGATCCTCCTTGAGGTAGAGACGAACCTCAGTACCACGGCCGAGAGGGGGGTTGACGGTGTCAGGGGTGATGGTGAAGGTGCCACCGGCGGCGGACTCCCAGATGTACTGCTCGTCGTCGTTGTGCTTGGAGATAACCTGCACGCGCTCGGCGACGAGGTACGCAGAGTAGAAACCGACACCGAACTGGCCAATCATGGAAATGTCGGCGCCAGACTGGAGCGCCTCCATGAAGCCCTGTAGAAACGAGTGTCAGCTACCTGGACGCGTCCTACGCCACACCGCGACGCGTCGAATGACATACCTTGGTACCGGACTTGGCGATCGTACCAAGGTTGTTGACGAGATCGGCCTTGGTCATACCGACACCGGTATCGCGGATGGAGAGGATCTTGTTCTCCTTGTCGGGGGTGATGCGGATGAAGAGATCCTTGCCCGAGTCAAGGACGGAGGGATCGGTCAGAGACGCATAACGGATCTTGTCGAGGGCATCGGACGCGTTGGAGATGAGTTCACGAAGGAAGATCTCCTTGTTGGAGTAGAAGGTGTCTATGAAGATCAGGTTAGCATCGATGCGCTTAAGACTATCCTCAGAAGTCGATCGAGTACGCACTGATGATGAGGTCGAGGAGCTGGCTGATCTCAGCCTGGAAGCCGAAGCTCTCAGAGGCCATTTTTGAGCGTGAGGGTCGTTAGAGGGGTAAGAGAGGGAGATGGGTAAACGAATGCAAACGACAGAAACAAGCTGGGGACGCTGCGGTCGAGGACGCGGGTTTATGTACTTCGCTCGACTCGTTATTCGAGAACCTTCCATCCCTGTCCACATAAAGGAACAGGCGCCCGTATCCTTGCCTTGACCTGGGCGAACCTTCGAAAACCTTCCACGACGTTCTACAACACCTTCCATTCCTGGACTACATGTCTAGCGCTTGGTACATGTTCGGCCCAAGCTCAAGCGGTCACTGGTCCCAGCACAGGCGACGCCCGCGGCGAAGATACAACAAGTCCTTGTCGTCCCTTCAGCAGTTCCACCATCGCATTCACTTCCTCAATCTCCTCCCTCAGCTCGTCGTTTTGCCTACGCAAACGCTCGTTTGTGTCTTGCAGTCGTCGGTACTCGTCCTCGCCCACGCCTGTCCCTAGCGCATCACGCCGGCGCGCTGCTTCCAGCTCTTTCTGGTACAGCTTGACCGTGTTACTGAGCTCAAGGATCTTTTGCCTCTGCGCACTGCACGTTCCTTGTCAACAAAGCATCAAAACTAGAAGCTTCCTTGATACTCACGCTGCGTCCTGTTGCATTTGCATCTGTGCTTGTTCCGTTGCATGCAGTCGCAGTTCCATCTTCCTATACTTGCTCGTGAACGCTGCCAAGTACTCCTTGCTATTGTTAA